AATAAGTCTGTACATGTTCAGTACAGTGATAATTTTTTTCTCTAAATATTTGTGATCCAGGCTTGATTGGATCCTTGGATACAAAATCAGCAGATACGGACGGATGACATTTTACATTCATTCAATCATCCATGTATTCAACTACTTGACAAAAATTTACTGTATGAAAACTGTCTGTCCAGGGATGGATGGGTGAATTAGATGCAATCCTGGCCTTTGAGGAGTACATGCTCCACTGTAGGAAACTGAAAAATGAACAGACGCAATATGGTGATGACAGGGACTCTGGTAGAGGTTTGCTCTGGATGCAGAGGAGGTAGGGGTAGGAGCAGTCAGGTACAAATTCCTGGGAATTACCTAATTACCTATAACTGAGTCTTGAAAGTCCAATAGTTCCCCAAAGGGGAAACACATGATAATGCATATAAATTTTAGCCAGCAGTTAAAATTTAGAATAAAAAGGTAAATTTAGGCAAAAAAAGAAAGTGAGAATATGGGCAGTGAAATCAGACATCCTGGTTATATCCAAGTTTCCTCACTTATCACATGTAGCTGATCCCTTCTGTGCCTCAGTTTTGTCTTCTGTTAAATGGGGATAACTCTATTATTGGATAACACTATTGGTTGGGTGTGTAGCTTAAGTAATCCACATGAAATGCCTAATGCAGTTCCTAAGATTTATGAAGTATTGGATAGAGGGAGACATCAATAATTTTCCTCTCTGCTAGGTCTTCCCTTAGCCTACAAATGTCTTTTTTTTTTTTAACCTTTATTTTATTTATTTATTTTTATGTGGTGCTGAGGATCAAACCCAGGGCCTCACACTTGATAGGCAAGTGCTCTACTACTGAGCCACAACACCGGGGGCCCCCTGTAAACTGACACATTATCTGTTCCTTTTTAAAAGACATGACTCTGAAAGAATTAGCTATAATCACCATTTAACACCATCCCCACCCCCAATTTCCTCCAAGGAACTTGGTCTTATCAAAGTCACTGATAAGATTCAGGATGCAATTCCAGGGGGTAATTCTCAGTCCTCATCCACACTTTTCAGCAGAACTTGACACAAATGATCCTGCCTTGCTCTCCCTGCCCCCTCCCCTGGCTATTCGAGTAATGGAACCCAGGGCCTGATGCATACTAGGCAAAAGGCTCTACCAGTTTTTGTTAAGGAGATTGAACTCAGGGATGTTTTACCACTGAGCCACTATCTCAGCCCTTTTTATTTTTTATTTTAAGACAGGGTCTTGCTAAGTTGCTGAGGCTGGCTTTGTACTTGCGATCCTCCTGCCTCAGCCTCCAGAGCCACTGGGATTACAAGAATGAGCCTGGCCAGCCATGCCATTTTGAACGTCTCAAGAAATTTCCCTCCCAGGCAGTTGTATTTGCTGTTCCCTTTATGGAGAAAGCTTTCCTCAGCATGTGCCTGGCTCCTTCCTTACTTCATTCAGGTTGCCATCAAAAACCTTCCTTCCCTAACCACCCTATCCGAAGGAACAATCCTACCCCAGCCCTCGTCCTCCTCATACTCCTTGGGAGGAACATGGAGATGCTGCCTTTAGGCCCTTTCAAGAAGCCTTGTTGCCTTAGCTGCTGAGAGTGCTGTCAGCCCCTTCAAGGATTGTTTCCCTACAGCATAGACTTGCCCAAGGCCATGATTTTTTTTTTTTAATAGGTAACCCATGTCTAAAGACTGGTGGGGTGGGTAGAAAAGGGTGGCTATTTGGGTCCAACAGGGGACAACTTAGGCCCTTTTAGCTCAGATACTCCTCATGAGGTTGACCAAGGATGTCATAGGACTTACCTCTCAGCTGGATTTCTCCCTCTGCCAAATTCCTCTTTCTTCCACAGGTGTGATCCCAAGAGTATTTGTAAATGTCAAGAAAAGTTCCATAGTATGGGTCCCAGTGGACTCAACCTGTGATACCCTACTTATAGTTTCCTTAGCATCACTGAACTGTTTTTGTTTTGGTTAGGGTTTTTTTTTTCTTTTTTTGGTTATGGATGATGATGATGATGATGATGATGATGATGATGATGATTACTATTCTATTATTTGGTAGTACTGGGACTGAACCCAAAAGTTTCTCAAATGTTTGCCTAGCATGTCTCTGTTCAGCTGACAACTTTATCCCTCCTGTTCTATCCCTATCTGGAGACAAAGCCTGGTCTCACATGGAGAAGCTGCCACTGGTCTTTGAACCAGCTACAATACAGGTGTTTTCACTTGGTCAGCCCACGGGGATACATTTTGAATTAAGCAACTATTCTTGAGTACTTTTCTTTTTCAAAATATTTTATTTAGAGAGAGGATCTTGTTAAGTTGCTTAAGGCCTTGCTGAGGCTGGCTTTAAACTCATGATCCTCCTGCTCAGACTCCGGAGCTGCTGGGCTTACAAGCGAGTGCCACCACACCCAGCCTTCATTCTTGTTAATGGCTAAGAAATGTATTCTATAAAGTGAGTGTGTCATATTTTAACCACTGCAATCTGGTAGCATCTGGTATTTTGCTATGATCTGTTATGCTGCAGAAACTTCCTTATGATTAACCCTGCGCTCTCAGGCAGACACAGCTATAAGTCCTGGAGATGAAACTACTGCATCATCTAAAACTTGATGGTAATTACAAAATCACTTTCTTTCTTCCCCCTTTTTTATCCTCTCTTTATGTATGAGAATGAGGAAGTAGTCTAAGAGTCTATCAGCTGGAAAAGGAAGTATCATC